AGTTAAGAATGCTTTTTATACTCCTTGACTCATTGTCCTGTTCAGAAGCTGCTGTTGCCATAGACTTTTTTAATGAAGCACCAGGGTAAGTGTTGGTCCTAACATTCTTTCAGGCTGGAGAAGCCCTTGATGACATCACCCCTTTCAAGTACCAGATTGGGAAAGTGCTTTTCCAGGCAAATGGCGGAAACTCAGACATCTATGCAAAGGGGATTTTTCCATGCCTGGTGATGGAACTGCTTATCCATGAGTGAAGTAGTCTAGTGAGTTACGAGGGCAGTTGTAACAAATTTACCCTGCCAAGGAATCTGACCAACCAGCTGGAGTACCTCTATGTGACAAATGTTCAAGTATCACCTTCCAGGAGTGGAAGAACATAAAGGCAAACGTTAACAGCATACAAAGCAAAGCTGCAGAAAGCTTGCTTATGGCGCCCCTCCTGCCTGGACTGGACCGCATGTCCTGAATGAACAGAGCAAGAGGGACAAATAACAAAGGACCAGATCAAACTTTGCCCCCTGTTACAGCCCCTGGGATTTATAACCTGTGCTGACTGGGACAGTGGTTTAACAGACTAGGTATAAATCTATATAATCAGATTGGTGTAACCGAATACTAAAGAACAAAATTTCTATAAATATACTCATGTTTGCCAGTAGTATGACCCATTAATTATCTGGCTCAGATTTATTTCAATTACACTGTGTAAGTCCCACCAACTAGGAGTGCATTTGAAGGTTTTTTCCCCTCTCTTGGCATCCATCTTGGATCACATGATGCCGGGGGAAGGGTGAAAGAGAAGCATAGGGAAGGGAGTCCATGAAAATGTCATGGCTTCCACCCTCAGCTAAAGCTAAGCCCACCCTGCTAGCATGCAATATTGGACGTAACCAAGAAATTATTCTGTCTTAAAAGTGCAGTCTCCCAGAGGATCAGAACAAAGATGGCGGGTGGCACTTAATGGGCCTTGTACCTCTCCCTGTCACAGCCATTCCATCGCTTCGTCTCTGGACAGGTCGTTGGAAAATTTGTCCCTGTGTATCCATCAGGGTATCAGCCTGTGCAGGCTGATCCTGGGCTCCCATCTCCCCTGCCCATTCCTAGGACTCTGCCACAGTCTCTTCCAGCACTGCCCTCTCTTCCTCCTTTCTGTACATGAGTCCACTCTTATTCAAAATGATGTATCCCTCTCTGGAGCAAGTTGTCCCTGACATACTACACTAAGGCTCTAGGGGACTTGCTCCTGAACTACAGCAACAGTGGCTACAGAGGCCCTCAGGACTCCATTTCTCAGATTACCTAGAGTCCAGGGCAGAGGTAGAACCAGCTGGAAGCAACTTCCAGAACAAATCATAAGCTAGAACTTAGAGACAAAGGGTTTGATTTTAATTTCAGTTCTGGCTATTGTTGGAGTGGAGCAGAGAGAGAAGCATCACAGCATGGGACGTCCCCATTAAACTTCCCATTCCTACCCAAAGGGAAACTTTTGAACTCTGCTGGTGGTTATTGGGTCATTGAAAAGTATCGGTCCAACAGAGACCAGCAACCCCGAAGGCTGAGGAGCAATTCTAGATCAGGTGCCAAGAGCCAGCTTAACTTTCTGTTGGACTCCAGACCAAGGAGCCAGCCTCAAGACAGTACTACCTTTCTAGGCATGAAAACCTCGTAAGAAATCCCATGTTTGTTTGTTTTGCTGTTTGTTTTAATCTGGCCAGTGATTACAGTGCTGCATCACCCGTCAAAGAACTGATTCCTGAACTCACTATCTGCCCCAGAGGGAGCTGGATAGTTTGGGCCCATTTGTAAATATTGAGGGGGGGAGGATTTAAAGTATTGTTGCTATTTTATTATTCAAGTTATTCCTGTTCTTTCCTTATCCCTTCTCCTTTGTTCCCAGTACCTAATAAAGTTCCCCCGTTGTTTATTGATACTTTAGGGATTAAGATAATTATCTTATTCCTTATGTATTGGACTACCCTCCTAGTGTATTATTTGGTAGTAAACATGTTCCCAAGGGACAGCATCTCTTATGTTTCATGCACTAGGAGGGCACCCCCCTTTGGGGGGAGGCACCAGATGCCAAGATAAAGGAATTAGGAACAGTCAGAGGCCACACCTCAGGCTGGGATTACAATTATGTCATGTGTGACAATGGTCTTTGTACTCAGGGTATAGGCAAGTATCTGGTTGAGTTCCTCACATGGTGTGTGGAAGGTGCTTCCGACTTCTAGGAGCTCAATTCCGCTTCCCCAGGCAGCTCCTGGAGCCCCTGCCTGGCTTGGAGACCTATGAGCGGCTGTCAGTGAAGCAGGGATTGGTTCCAAAGGGCCCAATCCCTTTTTATTGTCCAGATCCTGTCCAGCCTGGGTCAAAGACAGGTGGGGAGTGGGAGGCTCCAGCTCGCAGAAGTTGTAAGTCCAAAGCTAGCTTAAAAGCATTAAGATAAGATATAAGGTAGAAATTCAAGAAGCCTACCAGCCTAAACATGTAAGATAATAGAGTAAGCAGTTAGTATAAAGATATGAAGCCTATGAACTGTGGCATAAGTAAATTGTTTAGCTTAGCATAAGTAAGTTAATTAGCAGTGACCCTAAATCAAAAAATAGCATACGACATACATTTTGCAATAAATAATTCTGCTGAAATTCTGGGATAGGAACATCAGCAGATACTTAGCCAAAGAATTGTTATAGTAACCAGTTGATGTATATGCTAATAAATTTGATATAATTAGTATACTAACCTATAGAATTAAGACTCCCCAATATTATAAGGGTGAGGAAGTCAGTTGGGCAAAGAGGCTGAACCCTCTTATGAATATTCAGGGCAGCCATCAAACGCAATAATAGGCTGGACCACAAGATAGGCTGATGAGAACTTAATAATTGTATTGGTTGGTATGCCAGAGAGAGGATAGGCCCCTGACAGCCTATCACCTGTCTCACTACTCCTGGGTCTCCATAAGGATTGTGTGAGTATGCATATCATATAATGTGGGCCGTAAAACTGATATTGCATTACTGCTACATTTTTGTTTGTTTGGGAACTTTTCGTGTGTTAATAACTCTGCTAATAAAAATATTAAAATAGCAAAAAAAATCTGTTGGCCTACATGTGACTGTTGCAGCCAATTTAATCATAGTACAAATAACTGTGGGCCTGGTCTTGGAACTGGAACCTGTCAAACCGCAAGGTTTCATTTGTTAATTGGAAATTCTTAAGTAATCAGTACAATATAATCAATATTCAATCAGGCAACAGCCCCATACTACCCAGTCAAGTATGCCAGCTCAGGTAGAATTTTCCCCATGACGCATATTGGAGGGTTTTCAGTGTGGGTTACAGGGAGGTTTGGGCAAAAATGCAAAGGTCGACATGCAGAAAGCTTGCAGGGTAGATATACTCAAGCTATTGTAATGCAGGGAGGATGACATCGGCCCAGAGTAGTATATCTGAGACACAGAAACAAGTATGGTCATACATCCTCCTAAACTAGTATTTCCTTGCCAAATTTCAGTGCAGAAAGGCAGCTTTTCCAGATCCTAACATCTCGGTGGTTACAAGCAGCTGTTTTATAGATGTAGGATACTAGTGGGGACCAGTGAATAAGAAAGAGGCTAGTTGGGGAAATTGACTTATTGAAGAAATTGAAAAGCAATTAATGATTAATAGCTTAATGCTCTGACTCAACTATCCCTTGCATATGAGCTAATTTCTAATCTGTTCTATGGAAAGGCTTTTAACTTGATACTTAAAGATATGGATACTGGGCTAAATTCAGAGGTGATATAGACAGTGGGCTCCCTTGCCTGAGTCTCCTCTCACCCCAGTTTCACACTGATGAAACTCCACTGATTTCAAAGGAAATACTAGAGAAGCTAGCCAGCAGAAGCAAATACAAGGAGCAGCCACTGCAGATGCTGCGCTAGAGACTGTCAGACACTGATGATGTTACCAGATTGCTTTGGTACAGATTTGACTCTGGACAGTTTCCCGTTTATGCTGGTTGGCTGTTTGCTGTGGCCCCATCTCAGTCTCACTCCGCCTGTCCTCCAGGCTCCTCGCTTTTCTTCCTGCTATCCTTTACCCAACCCACCTCAGACCTTCCTGTCTATGGCCCTTCTGTCTTTCCTTCTAGCTAATTGCTTCAGAACAAAACTCCAACCAAAGAATTAAAAAAAAATGTTGGCACTAAGATGGTGTTTACAAACCGTCACTCTGCTTATAAATTATACCCCTGTTCCCTACCCTGGATTTACTTTGTCTAGTTAGATTGTGAGCTCTTTAAGGCGTGGACTCGCTATTGCTCTACAATGCCTCTGGTACTCTGTATTTGTGCAATGTCAGTAGAGCCCAAGCACAACTGTGACGCTAATAATAATAATAATGTTGGAGCAACAATAGTAGTAATAATAAATACTCATGATTGACACTGATGTGAGAGGAGAACTAGGCCCCCTTGCACTAACTGAGACTGAATCAAACTCCCCTACACCCACTTATCAATATGGGATTCTAAGGTGATGTAACTTCCACACTGGGAAATCAGAAAATGTAAGAATGCATGTGTTAAGGAAGGAGATGGGCTATTTTAATGTATACGCCCTTGTTAGTTGCTTTTCTTGCTCCATGCCTATCTTCTGGCTCCTTGGCCTGTGAGTCACAATATAGGCTTGTCTCTGAATTTGGCCCACTATACCTGTGTGGTATTTGATCAAGTATGTAAACAAAACAATAAGGGTTCAATCTTCTCCCATTGAAGTCAATGGAATTTGATATTGCATTTGACTTCAATGGGAAAATAATTGGGTCTTAAATGGGAGCAGTGGTAGGAGGGAGGGACCCATAGCAGGGAGAGAGAGAACAATAGAAAAAAAAACAAACAGAAAGTCAAAAATAGTATCTCGCTCGTTTTCACTAACCCACACACCTCATAATTCATACACAAACTGATGCTGCGCTCCCCTTCTAAGCAAAGATTTAAGAGCAACGAGCCATAATGCAGTCTCATATAGCTAAGACTTTATTACTTTTACAGAATATATTATGCTATGTTTACTAGTTTAGTATGAAGTATTATCATAAATAATTAAAGCTAAACTGCACTTGTTAAATAAATTAACAAAGTGCACCGTGAGATGCATTATCTATGCTTTCGTCATGCTCATTTGCTTAGCCCCTCATCCTGCAAGAAGCTAAGTTCCCTCAACTCCATGGAAGTTGCTGGGAATGGAGGGTACTCAGCACCTCATAAGATTGGGTGCTTACTAATTCATAAAAGTCAGTAATGTGCGATGAGTCTTCCAGACATTAGTACAAGCAAACAAGGTTTGGTTGTAGGAATGAATTCCATTCCTGGGTTAGTGAGGTGAGGATGAGGTAAAGAGATACCTCCAATCTAGCATGTAGTATACACAATGTGGGGAAACCTATAAGAACTTTGTTCACAAACTACCAGAAGCAAGGCCTGGGGCTGCCACACCGCCAGGCTGCATCCAGTTACTACTGATCACATAGGAGAGAAGTAGGTATGGTCTGATGCCTCCCCTCTCACAGGTTTGTGGCTGTGTGGATCCGTGCTTAGTGTTTACCATTGGCCTTGCCCCTTGTATGCCCATATTGCCTCCACCTGTGGTGAGCTGTGGCAATCTCATTTATGGTGTACGTAAGGGTGCAGTCTTCGGCTATTTTCCTCTTGTCTAGTCATTTAAAATGTTTTTGGCTGTTGCATCCCTGCATAAAGCACCTTAGGTTTGGGCCCAGAATGTTTGTCGTTAGAACGACCGCTTTTCCTTTCATTAGCCCACCTGACCTCGTTTAGTGCAATTGGTAGCATTATAGTAAATGGCTTGCATCACTTTAAAGTAATTGTGTTCCTCCAGCCTCGAGTTCACAAGCAGCTCTCTGGTGGGCTTGAATGCATACAGTTGAACAGGAGATGGGCAGCATCAGCCCAGCGACTCAAGTCTTTTTGGGAAACTCTACATCTGCAAAAAGGATAAAGAAACAGGTTAAAAGTGCTACTAGTTCTTGTTTCATTTGCATGCAGTGGTAGGTAGTTGTGGTGGAGTTGTATGTCTGATTTTTTTCCTGGACAATTTTCTCTCATATGTGAAGTACAATGTACAAAATAATTACCACTGTTGTGCTTAACAGACACAGGATCAGATCCCAAGAAGGTGTAAATCTATATAACTCCATGGCCTAGAGAGAGAGAGAGAGAGAGAGAGAGAGTGTGTGTGTGTGTGTGTGTGTGTGTAGTACTAC